CACACGGTCTCCAAGAACCATCTGCTTTGCGTACCATATGCAGGGGGCTCGCCCAGTCGCTACTAGACGGCCGACATATGCCAAGTTTCATTAAGAGCTCGAATTCAGCACGTGCTGCAGCAAGCTTCTCAGGTGATAACCGCCTTGGTCTGCTAAATACCGGTTGTCCGGACGTAATGATCCGGTGGACAACTGTAGATTTTGTTGCAACTTCTAGAGGAGGCTGATGAATTATTTTCGGAAATTTTAACAAAATATCCGAAAATGGCATATTTACGTTGATAGTTGATATATTCGGTGTACTAATTGACTTTATCGAGCACATTGYTTTTAACGCGGTGCGGCGGTCAAGTAGTCGATGTCGATTRAGATCTGGTAGTAGATCGAAAAATGATAAGAAGTCTGCGCCTATAATCGCCTGAGAAACGTCGGCAATTACGAACTTCCACACGAACTCTCTACGTAAGTTTAGATTCAATTTAAGTAGGACTTCACCAAACACTTGAATTGGTGAACCGTTAGCAGCAAACAATTTGGTATCCGATTCAGATGCTTCAGCCAAACTTGAACACTTCGGTATTGTCGACACCTCTGCGCCGGAGTCGATAAGGAAACTCATTTTTGCAGTGGTGTCGAATATGTGAAGGCGTTTGTTCGTAAGTTTTTCAGAACGTTTGCCTGATTCTGAAAAACAGTTGGCTGAGCAGGCCTAATTTGAGTCGGTTGGTGGTTGCGGATGAGCCATTTTGCACGGCTGTCTGCATTTACGGGCGTTACGACCAAATTTCGCGTGATACCAGCACATTTCGTTAGAACTGTTGTGTGAGTTACGGATACCTGCCGGGGTCCTAGATCTAGATCTAGGCCGAAATCGATGTCCGTGGTCGCTTACTACTTGGTCGAGTCGTTGTTTGAGTGCGCTATTTCGGCTCTCAGATCTTGGTCGGTAGATTGTTGTACGGTGCACAGTTCGCTGCAGTCTCCTTGGCGCAATCTGATGGACTCCGTAATGGAATCGGCGATCTTCAACTTTTCGATGATTGGCACATTTGTAGCAATGATTGCCGCTTGCGTATATGTAGGTAACCGAGTGATCCACAGGTCGTGAAGAATGCTCTCGCTTAACGTGGTTCCCGCGGCGCGCTTCATCTCGTTGTAAAGGTCGCTTGGGCGCCGTTCGCCCAGGAGCATCTCGCGAAGTACACGCTGCAGGCGTCGCTGCTGGCTTTCCGTAAAATTTTCCAACAGTTTTGCTCGAATGTAGCCGTATTTATTCGTGTGCGGAGCAGCATCAACTATGGTACGCAGTTCCATTAACTTTGAAGGTGGAACGCTTGC